TAATCAGACGTGCAGATAACCTTTACCAGCTCTCAATGACAAACTTAAACATGAGAATTTAAAACTGTCAGAATGTTGTAGCTACAGTTACTAGTCCTTATAAGCAAGATCTTTCAGATCTAAAGGCAAGAAGAGAGCTAAAAATAAACCATCACTAATGTGCCTATCTTTAAAAAGCTTGACCTTGTTGGGAATGAAAGTATGTCAAACAAGCTTCGCTTCTAAGAGTGACTGCGTGAAGCGGCTGTTTTCTGAACACCAATATATGTACTCCAACTTACACACACACACACACACACGTTGTTAGCACACTAGCAAAAACAACATTTAGTGCTAGATAACATGACAGAAGGATGAGCAATTTTGTTATTTTACATGCTAGAAGCTGTAAACTTGTTTATGTTCTTCAAAGAAACCAAACTATTTGCGAAATTTATCTAGGGCAAAACAGTTTTCATAAATGAGACGATGTAAATTTGTTCAATAGGGTTTATAATATGCCAATTTTTTCAGTAAAAAAACGTTGTTTCTCTTTATTTTGCCAAGTTTTTTCAAGGTACTTCTTCTTTATCTTTGCTTTCTCTTGATGCTATTTCGTTTTCACGTGAATCATACTTCCGTGATGTGTCAGATTTAGATTTTCTTCGATCCACATTAGATTGTTGGTTCTTAGGCTTCAATCGCTGTTGTGGTTCTGCACTCTCGTTGGAGTAGCTTTGACGAGGAGGAGGGCCAACAGGGTATCCTGGTGGAGGATAATCTGGAGGAGGATAGTATGGTCCAGGATAATCTGGGTTTGGGTAGGGGGGCGCGTTGTAGGATTGTACATAAGCAGGAATATATTGCGGATAGCCATACTCTGCATACGTCGGATAGACTAGGCCATCGGGCGGAACTTGATACGGTGTTGGTCCATATTCTAATGCGGGAGATGTGTAGACAGGTTGTCGTGGATATGGCCCGTCTTCAAGTGGAACACCTAAATACTTCGATTTATCGACAATATCAATGGATACAATGCCCTTCCAAAGATCAGCAAAGCTTATCTGGAGTTCTAGATTGTGAGCAGAGTCCATAAATGCACCATCCAACGCAACAGCATCCAATCAAAGCAAGAGCAATAAAACTAATGAACAAAGACAGAGTATGCCCCAATGAGTTTCATTTGTTAATAAGCCTTACAATATTGTCCAGCCTAATTTCTTCATCATCGGCGACATAGTGCCATCCGCAGGGCAACATTCTGTACCGCAGCATATTTCGTTACTTTGGCAAGTCCAAACTATCATTTGCGGCTTGGTGCCATTCTTATATTGCAGCTAAATTAGTGGTTTGACATGCAGTCAAGAGCAATCGGATAGATATCCAGATTATTTGAATGATTCGATATCTGACCGCCGAAGGTCGCAAAAACCCAACTATTTGATTATTTGATGACTTAGTGATCAAACATCGGACCAGATGCGTTATTCGGAATTAATCAAGTATTCGTATGTCAAACAATTGAATGCATTGATAAATGAACATTTTGAGTTTAGATAGTTTAAATGAATTTACATAATGTTCATCTGTCGGGATGGCTAAGTCATTTAATACTCGGTTCGAATAAATGCGAAATTATCAAATACGGGTTGATATCAGGTTCAGGTAAGCTACCAGATATTCCATTGACTAAATATGTAAAACAACGTTCTATTCGATTATTCATATACTCGGATGTTTGGTTATGCCTTTTTTTT